GGAGCGAATAGGGGCGCGGAGCTCTTCGAAGCTCGTGTCGTGGCCTGCTACAGTGGCGCAGGCGGCCGAAGGTGCTGGCACAGGTGGTGGCCGAAACGATGATAGAGATAGAGAGCTCGCGCCGGAGTCTAGAGGAAGAGGAAGAGAAAGACAGCACGCGGTATAGGTATAAGACATCGGCGCCAAGATCTGTGGCTCTGAGGTCGGCGCTAGGGATCTTGGCTCCGAGTTCAGCGCCACATCTGTGGCTCCGACCTCGGCGCCAGGATCCATGGCGCCGACCTACCTACCACGTCAGTGCCACTTAGATGCCCTGTTTTTCCTGGCCAGGCATCTCGGCGTGAAGACCTACGGCGCCGAGACATGTTACCTCGGTGCCGTAGGCCACGGCGCCGACCCCCAGGGTCCAAAGATCAGTTTACGTCGTCCAGGGGGGTAAACGTAAATTTTCTTAAAAAAGGCTAAATTGCAAAAAATTGGGTGGGTGGGAGGTCTAGCGTGTATTTGGTTCAGGTTTGGGTTGGGTCGGACTGGGCTGTTTGGCTTTGGAGAATAGGTGGGTTGGGTTGGCTTCGCTTGGTTCCTCCGAATCGGAGAAATCGTTTCATTCGAACCCACTTCCGTGCGTGAGCAGAGGCAAGCCACAGCAGCAACGACGGCGTCCAGCGTGCGGCGGTGGCGCCTAGTGTGGAGCACCGACAGGACGCGCTGCAGCCACTACGGTGGCCAGCACGCGGCAGCAGCACCCAAGCGGAGCACGCAGCAGCGGAGCTGGCCACGCATGCAGCAGCAACGTGCGATGGAGGCGCCCAGGAGCCAGCGTGCAGCAGCAGCGCCCAGTAGGACCGGCGGCGGAGTAAGCAAAAAAAGAGATGTACTTGTGTAGCGAACACACAACACACCCTGTACTTGTATATTTTGCCTCTCTTATAAAACAACAATATTTTAAAACTGAAACTCAATTAAGCTAGGGTCACGCGCGACCCGTCTTCCACCTCGCGCCGCACCTCCTCCTTCTTCCACCCGTCTTCCACCTTGTGCCCCGCGCCCGCACCGAAGGCGAGGAGGTCGTCGGCGGTAGGGTTCCGACGGGGTTAGGGTTTCCCCGGCGGGCTTAGAAGGAAGGTTTGGGGGAGGCAGACCAGCCAGACGGTTTAGGGCCCTAGTGGCGGTGGAGACGGCCAGGCCTGGTCGTGGTGGGGGCATCGCGGCGAGCTCGCCAACGCCCTGCCCTAGGGTTAAGAAGGGCGGGGTCGAGGGGCGGGGGAGGGTTGAGGGTGGCACGGCGAGGCGGCTCGTGCGCGGCCACCGGTGGTGGGGGCGGGGGTAGGGCGAGGACGAGGTTCATCGTCGGCGCGTCGTGGTGAGGTTAGGGGAGGGCGGGGTCGAGGGGCGAAGGCGGGAGGTGGGCGACAGAGAGGACGAAGAAGGCGGAGGGAGAAAACGCGCAGCGAAGAAGACGCAACCCATTGTGGGATATCTGCATCTATTTTAAAAGTATTTTTTTTCTAGAAAAGAATACCATATGTCATGTTGGTTGGATGACTGGACACAATCGGACATACATCCTAATGGAGCCTTGTGTTCTTCCACGTCTTTCTTTCTTAGTCTCTCCTCCATGTAAAGAGCTAAGACATGCCCCACTGATTTATAGGGGTGTTTAAATTTAGGGACTAAAATTTAGGGATGTCACATGGGGATATCGCATCGAGTGTTTGGATAGTAATAATAAAACAAATTACAGAAGTCCTCAGGAGTCCACGAGACGAATTTATTAAGCCTAATTAATCCGTCACTAGCACATGTTACTGTAGCACCACATTGTCAAATCATGGACTAATTACACTTAAAAAATCATCTCGCAAATTAGTCGCAATCTGTGTAATTAGTTATTTTTTAGTCTATATTTAATACTACATATATGTGTCTAAACATACGATATAATAGGGACTAAATTTTAGAGGGAGAAACTAATCAAGGCCATAGTCATCTTATATTCACTTGTTTTTCATGGGTCATCGTACGTCTCTTATTTTTATGCCTTGTGACGTCTCTTTTTTATTCTCATCGTAGTGTTGGCTTTACCAAGTCACTTCTTTGTTTTGCCCACTTTGTGTGTCTCCAGTATCCACCACTAGACCTACCTTCCTCCTTCATACATTCATCCAAATGCCCATCATCTAGAATCCAAAACCTGAAAACCCAACTCCAACCCACGTAAAAAACTCGGTCCGAGAGTAAAGATAAAGCAAAGAGGAGGTGGTTCTGAACTAGAGCTTGATGAAGCCGGCAGAAGAAAAATTCACTGATCAAGAATATAAAATACATCATTATAAACTTCTCACAAACGAATAAAGTAAAATCTGGCCAAGAATTCACTTACCAATGGTGTGTGACTGAGGAAACCACATCGTCAGATACACATATCTTGATGAGGCAGATTCTTGTACATCAATAGATTGTTATCCGACGAGGCATACCCTGATGACATCTAAACCCTTTCAAGAGATGAGTGGGGCTAAAGACGAGATCGCACCAAGGGAAAAGAAATCCCTTGAGACTAGTCCTCCAAGACGAGGAATAAGTGGGAGCATGTGTATTTACAATGTGCTCTTTCAAACCTTACAATATTCATGATGGAGTGAGAGGAGAGAAGGAGGGATAACTACTTTTTTACTAGAAAAAAGGACCAGGCAAGAAGACATAAATATAATTCTGGTTTTTTACTCCGAAATGCGGGAGATTCTGATTGGGGGAAGCCAGCCCATGAAGATTATTAGTCATTTCATATGGAGGAAATTAGGTTATGATCGAGTGGCAGCCAAAGGATAGCCCCTACAGAGCAAAAATCTAAGTCCAAAATAGCGAAGTTTTTTCTTTGCTTCCAAGAACATAGATCCCTTCTTCAAACCAGGTCATGGCAGCGGTCAATTTTGTTCCAGATTGTGCAAGAAATAAAATTGTTATAATGACATCTAGGTTTTATTATTATGTATGCATGTCGTTTAGATGTGTGTGTATTAAACACTCATGCATCTATTCCAACTCTCATGCCAAACCAATGAAATTTTGATATCAACACAATCAAGTTGACTTATCAAGATTTTTTTTACCATTGACTAGGGTAGCTCATAATATAAAATGAGGATCCATGTAGAGCTCTATGAATGGAAACAAGTACCACAACCAGAACACGCAAAAGAAAGATCGAAGACTAAGGCAAGAGAATCCAAGATCTACCGATGTAGGTGAAGAAGATGAACCGCAAAGCCGAAAAGTGCACAATGGACCTCCATCCGACGAGCACCAACAACAAAAAGTGGACACGATTTTCGTGGAGGTGGGAATGGAGAGCACCGCCAAGCAGAGGAACTACAAGGGGTGGGAGGTAGCTCTAACCAGGGACGGATCCAAGATAAATGTTAGGGGCCTTCTTCAACCTCTAGACAGCTTGAGCCTCTCCTCAAGGTCTATCCATGGCAAAAAAAAATCTAGGGGGGGAGGCTCCATCAGTCCGGCGGCGATAGGGGGGGGCTAGAGCCCCCCGCCCCATCGCTGGATCCGTCCCTGGCCCTAACTAGAGGCAAGACTTTTGTGTATTCATGAGCTTGTCCACCCACATTTGAAATGGAAGTGCAAATTTGGATGAGAGATTGTGCGTAAAGCACAAGGGAATGATTTGTGTTTGCGCTGTCGCATCAGGTTCCGACAATAACGATGCGATTTATGTCGCCCAATTTTGTATATAGGAATGTGTGTAGAAAACACACAACACCTACCCACATGTTTTCTCTCTTAGAATACCGCTACGTTAGACTTATTTTATCTAAAAAGAATACCCTATTTTCACCATTGGATCATGATCTGATATACATTCTATTATGTTCTTCCACATCTTCATTATGCTCCGTCATGCTCTCCTCCACAAACGACAAGCCAACTTGGCACACTCACTTCAATCCCCATCACCTTACTAATTTGTTTTTTAATGGGTGGTCATTGTATTGCCATTTTGACTCTCTTTATAGTGCTCACTTGACTAATGCCTCTCTAGTCGCCTCATTACCCCGCCTACTTTCTAACCCACCACTAGGGCAACCTTTCTTCTCCTTCATTCTTTCACGTAAATCCCCATCCGAAACTCAAAAACCGATAATCCCAACTCTTAACACTAAAATATCTGAAATCTAACCCATAGAAGAAACTTGATCTCACTATAGATAGAGCAGAGAGGGAGTGAATCTCGTTAGAAGTAGAGAGAGAGAGAGAGAGAATCAAGTGTTGAGGAAGGAAAATAGATCATTATAACTTTTTCACAAATGAAAAAATGGAGCTTGCCTACAATTCAATTACCAATGGCACGCGATTGAGGAAGACACCTCTTCTGATACACATCCTCTTGAGGCGGGTCGTTGTACATTTGCATAGATTGTTATTTGACAAAGCATACTCTGATGACATCGTGTTTATTAGCAAAAACCTATTTAAATTCCAGTCTTATCATTTCACATGAACCTACCTTTTTCTTTTTGTTTATTTTTAGTTAAAAAGTAATGTCATAACTCATGTGTCCATATTTGAACTATTTTCAGATTTTTTGTCATAAAATAATATTTATCAATTATTTGATTACTTTTCCTTTAGAAATTGAATTTGGTCTTAAATAATGTAGTTTGAAACCATAATCATCATTAACGGAGAGTTCTTTGATCACCAATTTGAGATTGTTTCATATCCAGATATCTGGATGAACGAACGAAATGCAGGCCTGTGTTGGGCTTTCTTTGGTCCAGGCCTTGAAAACAATAACTAGTAGTATTTTGGGTCAATTTTTAGGATAGTCTTGAGCCTATCTCGACTACCCGCTGGGCCCGCCGTTGTCCAGATGATCACATGGTTCACCCTAGGTTTGGAAGGCATCTACCCTATACTCCTAAAGTTATCCCCTCCCTCACAGATCACTGTTTACCAACAGTAACCTCTCACGTAAACACTGTTACCGGAGCAAGAACCCGCCCGATATAAACAGTGACGGATTCCGTGAACAGTATCATCCCGGAAAATAAACAGTTACCGAACAGCGTGAGCAGCCCGTCCGATATGAACAGTGTTACCTGTTCGCAAAAACAGTGCTACCTGTTACACAACAGTGCATACCCGTCACAAACAGTACATACGTTAACCATTAGCGCTCTTTAATCCGTTTGCAACAATATAAACCCATTTCCAAAAAGCACTTACCCGTTAACAACAGCACATACCCTTCAAACATTACCAGCCTTTAATAAGCAGTACTCGACTATTGTACCAACCCATGCTTCATCTTCCTTTCGATACAATGCCCCGAGTACTTCAGCGAATGATTTTTCCCTTTTCTTCCCTCTTTTCCTACTGCTCTCTTCCTTCATGCTACGTACTGCTTTTTTTTGTTAACTTACTTCTGTTTTTTCCCTATTTTTGCTCTCTTCTTTTTCAATGCTAGACACTCCCAAACAGCTAATGTTTTTTCCATACTAGGTTAGACCATTTCTCTCCTAAAAAAATGTAATTCTTTTACATATCAAAGCAGGTCAATTCATTTTGTGCGAAAAATTGAACAATACATTCTCTACACATATTTCTCACTATTATCGCCCGCGGCACCGCACGGGCCCTGGCTAGTCAATCTAGATTGTTTGTTGGCCCATCTTTTAATTTATATCATTTCCATTTACGGAATATAGTTCTTATAATCTATAAAGTATTCGTTATGCCATTTTTTTTTTATAATCCTACTCAAAGTGGGTTCAGTATCCAAGTTACTCGAGAGTTGTTTGTGGTTCTAACGTCAACACATAAACTGAAGTTGACCTTATCTCCATTGCAGATTAACTTAGGAATCATTTGTAGCAGTTTAGCTAAAGTATCACCCTTAACCTTAGTTACTCTTGAAGCGTGATACATACCTTTTTTTTTGTATATGTATGATTTAGTCTTTGATGTTTTGGCTCCCGCTACATTTACCAGAGAAAATCAGAGCTAAGGAGGTTTTGAAATAAAGGTTAAATGCTTATTTTGAAGACTTGTTTGGTACAAAGAAAAGAAAGATATGTTTGCAAGCAATATGTGTATTAGTATTATATCTTGAAGATAAGTTTATGGTTTAATATTAAATTTGGAACAGGGCTGTCACCTTAAGGTAGATCACAAAGTACAGCTCGTTCATATATTGCACGACATTCCATTCAAGCTGCAGCGGAATATGCATTGGGCTCCTGGAATCCAGGACTGCAACATCAAACTTTACAGATCATTCGGTAAATTTCGTCTGCTCAGTTCCAGGAGGAAATCGTGGCACCTGAGTTATCTGGCAATGCCATTTTTTGTCAATAGTGTTTCCACATCACCATAATCCTCAGAAATAAAAAATCTATCTGCTACTGTATGTGACTGGAGGTGCATTAGCCCATCCTATAGGAGAAGCCCTACTACCAATATCCCATAAATACAAGATATATATATATATATACTTCTCTGTTGCCAATAAATAAGCAGCAGCACAAGCTTTGCATGGATGGACAGTTTTCTTCCGGTATAATCCAAACTGTTCCCCCATCACGGCGGCAGATGACGATGCTGAAACGCTCATGAGCTCTTCGACATTGATGAGCAAAGGCGAGAATACAGCGAAGTATTTTGCACAATAAGATAGACGATGAATGCAAGGTAAAAAATCAACACAACACACAAGCTTGAGCGAAGAAATGCACCCCGGACATCAGTAATGTAGAAAGACAGTATAAGATACCCATTGATAAGCATCAGAAATACCGTAACAATCCAGCTAATCACCTGAGGAGAGCGTAAAATGAGTCAATACAGCAAACTTGGATGGGCAGTGTTACCAGACTAGTTCAAAGGAGCTTCATACCACCAGACAAATTATAGCAAAGTAGCAAACTAAAACATCTACAATCGCTTCAATACAGCAAACTTGGATGGGCAGTGTTACTATACTAGTTCAAAGGAGCTTCATATCACCAGAGAAATTATAGCAAAGTAGCAACCTACATCTACAATCGTTTCATAGGTAGGCAAACCATATATAGATATACGGACGCCGAGTGACATGTCATATGTCAATACTCAGTAGGTAGCCTAAGTTCCATGGTATGAAACACTAAAAAATCATGTGAAGGCATCTCGATTTGGTAATATCTGTAAGTTAAAGCAGAGCAGACAACTGAAACTAAGGATTCTTCTCTAAAGAAAATAAACTCAAGACTCCAGCTTCTTAGTTCTCTCAGATGTTGACACACCATGACGCAATGGAGTAACAGTACATGGTCTCAGGTAGCAACAGTCAGTTGATCATTATTTAACTCTCTGTGAACACGAATTTCCATAAACAAAACTCAAAGAAAAACTTACTTTGGTGATGGGACCGATTACGAACGACCCCATGATTTGCTCCTTTGAAACGAGGGTGATGAGAGGAATTAGAGCAAATGGAATCTGTATGGATTGAAGAACATTGAGTGCTTCATTCAGAATATCCATAGTAGGATCTTCAGTATCGAAAAATAAAGCCACAATCATAGTTGGAATAATGGCAAAACTTCGAGTAATCATTGCTCGTAGCCACTTCTTCAATCGAAGATTAAGGAAACCTCCCATAACAAATTGCCCTGCGTATGTGCCAGTAACTGTGCTACTCTGCCCAGATGCTAACAAACCAATAGCCCAGATATAGAGGATGGGAAAGAATGCAGTTCCATATTTTTCCTGTAAGTACTGCCCAGCATTCTCAAGACCTATATTGTCAGCCTGTTTAGACCCATAAAATCCTTTGGCAAAAACTGTTGTGACACAGATGTTAATAAAGAAGGACACAATGAGTGCAAGAATTGACTCAATGTTGTAGTAGTAAACTGCTTCTTCAACACGAGATTTCTTGTTTTTGTCAATCTTCCTGGACTGCACTAGTGCTGAATGCAAGAAAACATTGTGAGGCATGATGATGCAGCCCACAATTCCAACCGCTTGCTTAATTGTCTTTGAGCTCAATTTTGGAACCACCAAACCTGTATAAGATATCAAATGAGCGAACTCCTTAGATTCTCAAGGATATACTACATAAAGGAAAGAATTTTGCCGACATGTTATAGTGAGAGTTACCGATCAGAAGTTCCTTGCCACTAGGCTTTGTTTCACCAAACATAACCGCAAATGAAACAGCCATAGTTGCAATCAATACAGCGAAAAATGCCTCCAGTTTCCTCACGCCAAAATTCTCCAGGAAGAGAAAGATGAAGCTGGCATCAGGGAAATACCGTATGAGTCAAATGTATCAGTTCTGCTAAACAGTTCTATCAGATAGTCATAGACAATCAATAGAAAAAGAGATAACCATAGAGTACCAGACAAAGACAAACTATTAGCATTTCATCATCACTAGACGATTTATTTGGCAGAACTCTTATATTTAATTTTTTCTGTTACTTTCATTGTTACCAATTTCATATTCTAAAAGCGCCTAGCCTTGTTTAACAACCAATAATGCTGAAGGTAGGAGGTTTGACCAGGGTAGCAGATAGGCAGCAAGTAGTAGCGTACGGACAGTAGACAAGGATATGTCCATAGTTTAATGAATAATCCCAGATCATGGGTACAAGTCTCTAACGGGAGAGAGAAAAGAAGTATCAAACCGACCAATAAGCTTAAATAAATACCCAAACCAGGCATAAAATGATGTGATTGCAGCAACCGTTGGCAAATACTCTGCAGCCTGCAGGCCCCAATCATGTTGCCATCGACTAAACCACAGATGAAGCATGCTCTACTAGAAGAGAGAGCAAGTAGAGGACGCAAACAGCAACAATGTCAGGACGCAACCTAATTCGATCAGCGAGCAGCACATTAGCATCTCCAGAAGCTACACCAAACCAGGACAAGTGCTACAGGTTTTAGCTGATCAGGAAGCAGATTGTAATCACCAGAGAACTGCAAATTTTAATCCAAGGGATGCATTCGTACTTTTTTTTCTGCGCCCAAAACAGTTGTACTCAGTAGAGTAAAAGATACTATCCCAATAACACACGGTAGCCATCATGCCCATCATCAACATGGTAATTGAACAGAGAAACAAAAACGATGCTCCCATAAGCAGCAAAGGAACACCAGAAAGCCAACAAGAGGAGTGATCCCTTTCAAAATCGATTGTCTCCAAGCACGCCACACCAAAGGACGCGAAACTTTATATTACCTAATAATAGACCGGACCAAAAGAATCCAAGGCAGAGATCCGATGCCTGAAGGAGTAAGGTAAAAAGAACGGACAAAAACACTTGATCGTGCCAACAGCCATCAACTTTTCTGAGATGCCATCCGTTGATGCCCAACACAAGAAAGAAATAATTCTACTCGCTTCATCAACACAGCAACAGAAATTTATAACTTTCAGTTCAGGAGAAGAACAGTGAGGAGCAGACAGAGAGATCCAATTCAATCAACTAGAGGAAAAGCATATACAGGGAAGGAATTTGCTATCCCCCCAAGCAGTAAACAAAATTGACAAACTTGCTCGTAGATTTTACTGATCAAAACCCCGAAACAAGAAAAAAGCAGGTCAGTTCAATGATTATGGACAGGAAAAATAATCCACTGGACTTTGGGGGTTCAAAACCGAAAGTAAAGAGACAACCGTAAGCACAGACGACGAGAGCAAAGCAACTTACCAATCGAGCGCGGTGATGACGACGCCACCCCAGAGCGGCACGGTGCCCCCCGAGAGGATCTTGATGGCAATCGCGCTGCCAATCACCTCCTGTATGTCGGCGCCGACGAGCGCCAGCTCCGTCATGGCCCAGAGCGCGCGCGTGGCCCAGGTCGGGTACTCCTCGCGGCAGAGCTCTGCGAGGTGCTTCCCCGTGGCCACGCCGAGCCGCGCGGAGAGCAGCTGCATCAGCGCGCCCATGACCGTCGCCCACATGAGCAGCCACAGCAGCTGGTACCCCGCGGCGGCGCCCGCCTGCAGGTTTCCCTCCATGTTGCCCGGGTCCAGGAACGCGATGCACATGAGGAAACCCGGGCCCGTGAAGCGCCAGAGCTTCCGCCACGAGAAGGGTGGGCGCGACGCCGGCGCGCCGTCGTTTTCGCCGTCGGAATCCGAGATGGCGATGGAGATCTTGTCGTCGGAGTCGTACGCGCGCTCCTCGTATTCGTCGGGTGAGGTGGAGGCTCCGCCCCCGCCGCCGGGGAGGAGGCTCTCGGCGAGGTCGCGGGACGCCATGGGGAAGATGCGCGCGTTGGCGAGTGGGGGAAGTGAGGATGGGGACCTGTGCTGCACCAGCGCACCTAGTGACCTAGCCGCGGGTCCATCGCCTGGATTATTGCATACTACCGCGACACGCACGCACACACGTATCTTGCGCTAGTTGGTAGCCTTGTGCAGCCGAGCGGGATTCGTTTATCCCGCGCGCCCCGGGAACCAGGATTGATTGGTCCGATGGTTTCTGCAACAATTTATACTACACTTTCTTTTTTATTTAATTTTATTTAAATCAGAGTAGTTTTTTATTTAAATAGATTAGAATAGAAAAGCTGTCGTTTAATACAAAACTGTATTAATATAGATTCATACTTGTGGTGATTTTAAACAGCTGTAACAAATTGAAAATCAAAATCTATAAAGATTATTTTTGCATTTGATCTGAAGTGGGGAAATAGATTAATAGTATACAGGCGAACTGAATATAGCTGAGCTTGTTTATCGAATTTAAATTCTCGACTTAACATAAGTGATTCTATTTTCTTGAATTTATTCTAAAATTTAACAGTGTTAATTTTTCAACGATAGGTGACACTTTCGTCAATATACTTTTTTCCGGTTGGTCATAGACATATGGCTTTTTTACATCTTAAATATGTAATTATGTCCTTAGACCCTATTAGATTTAATTTTAAAAAAAAAGCTTTAGCTGATCTAATAAACAAACTGCCTTATGCGGCTTTTAACCACAAAATTAGTGAATCCAAATATATTAGCAGATTTTAACAATCTCTAACCCATATTAAAGCAATTCCACAATCTATCTCCTCATAACTCTTTCATGCTTTTAGCAATCTAGTCACTCTATTCTAAAAAAATATAATTCTCACTCGCTGAGCAGTCAAATATCTTTGAATTTAACCAAATACTGTATGTACTAACATCTCTAGTACAAATAGGTATCATTATATTAGTTATGAAATATATTTCTCATAGTAAATTTTGCTATAAGCTTAACCAAATTTAGGAAGTTTGACTTGTTTCAAACTTGGAACTGTAGAATTTTGGAACGGATGGAGCATGTCTTTTACAAAGTGAGTAGAACCCACAAATTAACTTGGCATGGTCTGAACTCTGAACTCTGAAGTACCTGGACATTGCGTGTTTCGTCGAACAAATGGCCTTAAACTTTTCTGTTTTGTTTGGAACTGGTTTGAGAAAATATGACTATCAATCGTGATCGTGAGTGTAGGGGCCTTGGGGGATGCAACTAAACGGTAGCAGTTTCAAGAGCTACTGGGTAGCCATTCCCACGCCATGGGACTTGTTGGCGGGAAACGTGTTAACGACCACGAATCGTGGGGTCAGATAACATTTTCCTTGCAAAAGCAAAAGGAAAAAAGAAAAATGCAAAACAAGGAGAAACCGAGATCCCTCTTTTTCTCGTCTTCCGCCCTTCAAGATGTGGTGCAGCCGTGCAGCCTTCTGCAACTTTCGGCATAGCACAGAACTACGAGCAGTGCCAAGTGCCCAAGTCTTGGGTCGGTTGTCACTCGTATAAAGGCGGCACCTGTGCTGCACCAGCGCACCTAGCCGCGGCTCCGTCGCCTGGATTATTGCATACTACCGCGACACGCACGCACACACGTATCTTGCGCTAGTCGGTAGCCTTGTGCAGCCGAGCGGGATTCGTTTATCCCGCGCGCCCCAGGGGATAAGTCCGTTGATACAGGTTTATCGTGAGAGAAAAATACTATTAACAGCTGATAGCTCTGGCTAAAACCAATAAGCAAATATGCTGAAAAAGCAGAAGGTATCGTCAAACTGCCAAGTGCCAAGCAATCCTAAAACTTGATCGAGTCGATGTCTCGATCGGATACGGCGAAGCAATCCTACCATGAACTTAGTCCTCGTTCAGGGTGTAAAGTTTTGGGCATGGGATGTCACAAGAGGTGTTTGGATACTGATAAAAAAAACAAATTACAGAATCAGTAAACCGCAAAATGAATTTATTAAGCCTAATTAATATGTCATTAGCGCATGTATTACTGTAGCACCAAGTTGTCAAAATCATGTCTAATTAGACTTAAAAGAATCGTCTCGCAAAGTAGTCGTAATCTGTGTAATTAGTTATTTTTTAGTTTATATTTAATACTGTATGTTCAAACATTCAATGGAATGGAGCGGGAATGGAGCGTAAACTTTTAGCGGAGGAACTAAACAAGACATTCGTATATGGAAGTATTCAGAAGAAAATCACGTTGTGCCAATGGCCTGACAGATTGACAAGCAGATGGAGATGACCGACGAGACGAGCGCACGCTCAACGTTGAGACGTCATCCGATCCGAACAAGAACAGCCAGTAGTGCAGGGTTGAAGATTGAATAATGCTTCATCGTGGTTGGTATGGTAGGCTATACAAATCCGTTCCATCATCGCGCTAGACTGCGCAAGGACTTCCGATCGGGCATCATGGCAGGATGGCCTACGGGGCAGTTCAAAACGGACGACGTTGGCGGGAAACGTGTTAACGACCACGACTCGTGGGGTCAGATAACATTTTCCATGCAAAAGCAAAAGGAAAAAGAAAAATGCAAAACAAGGAGAAACCGAGATCCCTCTTTTTCTCGTCTTCCGCCCCTTCAAGATGTGGTGCAGCCGTGCAGCCTTCAGCAACTTTCGGCATAGCACAGAACTACGAGCAGTGCCAAGTGCCAAGTCTTGGGTCGGTTGTCATCCGGGGCATTCGGTTAACCGAAACCAATCGGTTCGGTTTCTCGGTTCTTTATAAAATTCGGTTAGCAGAAAATTGGGAACCGATCGGTTAGTAAGAAAACTAGGAACCCAGGAATTTCGGATTCGGTTAGATCGGTTCGGTTTCGGTTAGAACCGAACTAACCGAGACATCCATTACAACAGCGAAATAGAAGAAAAAAACATCGTGAAAAAACACGGCAGCAGTTGCCCCTTCTCTAGATCCGGCACTCCTCAGCCCTCGCCGGTAGCAGAGGCGGCCGAGGAGGACTCCAGGCAGGAGCAGGCTGCGGCGGAGGGCTCCATGCAGGCGAAGCTAGAGGGCCCCGCAACCCGCGCAGGCAGCGAGCGGCGGCGCCTCGGCCACCGGTCCAGGCCCCCCGCCGGCAGCGAGTGGTGACAGCTCGGTTCCTCAGCCTCCCCGTTGATCTGCCCCTCGCTCCTCGGCTCGATTCATCGCAAGCTCGTGATGGGAGCGAAGGAGCAGAGCAGCGCAGTGGGGCGCCGTTGCGCTGTCGCTGCGGGCGCGGAGCGGAAGGAGCAGGGATAGCCGGACAGAGCTGGGAGTAGGGAAGGAGAAGGGTTGTGCGGCGGATTGGGAGGGAGCTAGTGGGCCTCTGGTGGCGGTCGGGAGCGACTGAGGGAAGATTGAGCAGTGGAGTAAAGTTGATTAGGGTTTGGAGAGGTTGTATATATACCAAGGTCTATTGGGCTGCGCTTTTCTCTCTGATTATTGGGCCTCATCGGTTACTTCGGTTCTTTCGGTTAACCAAGCCCAAGAACCGAATTAACCTGGCTTATTTCGGTTACTTAAAACTAGTAACCGAACTATTCGGTTTCGATTAGTTCGGTTTTGGTTCTAATTATTTCGATTCGGTTTTCGGTTCTCGGTTATTTTTGTCCAGGCTTAGTCAGTTGTCACTCGTATAAAGGCGGCACCTGTGCTGCACCAGCGCACCTAGCCGCGGCTCCATCGCCTGGATTATTGCATACTACCGCGACACGCACGCACACATGTATCTTGCGCTAGCTCGTAGCCTTGTGCAGCCGAGCGGGATTCGTTTATCCCGCGCGCCCCAGGGAGGGAGATGACTCGGTCGTTTCCACTCAAAAAGCAGAAGGTATCGCCAAACTGCCAAGTGCCAAGCAATCCTAAAACTTGATCGAGTCCATGTCTCGATCGGATACGGCGAAGCAATTCTACCGTGAACTTACGGCGAAGCAATTCTACCCTGAAGGCCTTGTTTAGTTTCAAGGTGTAAAGTTTGAGGGTGTTATATAGGGTATTTAGATACTAATAAAAAAACAAATTATAGAATTCGTCAGTAAACCGCGAGACGAATTTATTAAGCATAATTAATTCGTCATTAGCATATGTATTACTATAGCACCACTTTGTCAAATCATGGTCTAATTAGGCTTAAAAGATTCGTCTCGTAAAGTAGTCGTAATCTGTGTAATTAGTTATTTTTTTAGTCTATATTTAATACTCTATATATATGTCAAACATTCGATGTGATAGAGTATAAACTTTTAGCGGAGAAACTAAACTAAGACCTTAGTATATGGAAGTATGCAGAAGAAAATCACGTTGTGCCAATGGCCTGACAGATTGACAAGCAGATGGAGATGACCGACGACACGAGCGCATGCTCGACGTTGAGATGTCATCCGATCCGAACAAGAACAGCCAGTAGTGCAGGGTTGAAGATTGAATAATGCTTCATCGTGGTTGGTACGGTAGGCTATACAAATCCGTTCCATCATCGCGCTAGACTGCGCAAGGACTTCCGATCGGGCATCATGGCAGGATGGCCTACGGGGCAGTTCAAAACGGACGACGTGGCAGATACACGTGACGAGGCGTTCCCTCTGGGGCCCGGCGACCAGCGGCCGTGGATCGCCAAAAGAACGTGCCCCGCCCGCAAGGCAAGCGCTCCCGCCACCGGCCTCACCGTGTCGGCGGCGTGGCGCCACGGGACCCCGCCTCGTGTCCTGGCTTCGGTGGAGTACTTTGACCCTCTCTCCTCTGATTCAAATGATCCGCTCTGCTCTGTTCTGATCTACACTACGTGCCTGTTTAGTTCTAAAATTTTATAATTTTTTTCAAGATTTTCCGTCACATTGAATATTTAGATGCATACATTAAACATTAAATATAAATAAAAAATAAAACTAATTACACAGTTTAGATGAAATTCACGAGACGAATCTTTTAAGCCTAATTAGACTATGATTAGACCCTAATTGTTAAATAACAACGAAA